TTATTTACTTATCCATATTTATTTTGTTTAAAGTAGATGCAATTAGATATTTATTTTCTGCCTGAGTATACCTAATTGGTTTTGTTTATGCGCTTTATTGAAAAAATCTACTCAGTATATGCATTTTATATTCCTATATCTCTGATTAATTTAGCAAGTAATTTGTAACTCATACTTTCCTTCTCATTTTGCTAGATTTTTTAGTTTATATAATTTTCTGCTTGATCAATCGCTTCGGATGCTTTGGCTCGGACTTCATACTATATATTCTCTTTACAGAACGCACACTTCATACCTGCAATAAGTAAAATATTTTTTGTTGCTTTCCGCTTCAGTTTTGGCTTAGATATCATTAGCACTCCATTTTTCTACGATACCTTGATATTGTGGTGCCACTCACTTAAGCACTCTAGCTTGATTGCGAGTGCATTCCGTTGAACTTTACACGATTTGAGTGAGGTCGGGCTTGGCTCTCATATTTGTTCCGCGACTCACTGGCACTCGAGGCTGTGTCGGCACTAATAACTTAACCCAGGCGAAAAAGGCGAATTAACTAGTCTTTTTGCTTATGGTTTTATCTATTATCATACCTTATACTCGTCCGATTTCGCGCAAAACTTTTAAAAAACATTCATTTTTGATATTTTCAATATGGACATCAATCAACCAATGTATATAGCACGTAGGGCGGAGCTGTTTAGGCTTTTACTTTTAAGCTAAACCATTACGAGAAGGAGCCCCAGCTCTTGCGATTTCCATCCTATTGTAGCTAAGATCTCAGCATGCCTAAAATTGGCCGTTCCACATTGAAGTCATCTTAACGTAATGTTAAGGCAAATAGCCATGCTTCATTATTTATTGATTTATGATTTTATATTGTTGGGATTCAGAGATTCGATTCATTTTCATACAAATAAATCCTGTTGCATCGTGCTACCTTTATTATCAGGATAAACCAGTGTGATCTTCCTGTTCATTTTTCCAGTTTCTATTTTTCTTTTACTTACACTGCTCTAAACATATATCGTTCAAGCTTTATTTGGGATTTGGACCCTACAGGTTTTAGATTGGTATGCGAATTGTAAAATCTTCCTTTACATATAACCACGATTTCTTTATCATCCGATTTTGTGTGCACTCTGATCATTTTAGTTACATTTTTTGCTTAATTGTTTATTTGTATAGTAATATTTCGTCCTATGGGTTTTATTCTTCCTTTTAAGAATGATCGCGACACTAGATATCTATCATTGTTTTATATGTAGAAAGTCACTTAGTTTTCTACTTTCATTAAATCTAACTATATACAAGTTATGATTCGCTCTCCTCGATCTTCTTGGTAGATCTGAACAGTTAATATGATCAAATGCTATGTTATATTTTCTTTTTCCTCCTATACTCCTTCAGCAACTCTTTTGTAAAAAGTTGCCACCTAGACAAGCTGCTGAAGCTCTAGAATTGGAGTTCTGTGTCGCATCTAAACCAGTAGCTCGGAAACATAAGGAATCCTATCCTCACTCCTCGTCGCCGTTAGCACCTTCTTGTCTTTTGATAATAGACGAGCTGGACTTGCTCTGTTCTCGACGTCAAGACGTGCTCTACAGTCTTTTTGATTGGCCGACGCGTCCGCGTGGTAGGCGAAGCCTTGTTTGCTTGGCGATAGCAAATACGATGGACCTACCAGAGCGCATGCTGCATCATCGCGTGGCCAGCCGTCTCGGTCTAACACGACTACCTTTTGTGCCGTACTCTCACGAACAACTTGCAAGCATCGTAAGAGTCCGCCTATTAGCATCAAAGACTGCCAATCTATCGTTTCAGGTAATATTTTGATTATGAAGTTAAACTGGGTTTCGAAGAATTCCGTAACGATATATTGTGAAATGACTTTCCATTTCGAGGTGAAAATTGATTGGAAGTAATTCGTGATGTAGGCTCACAGAAAATGAAGGGGGATTGCCGCGTAAGGAAGACTGTTGAATTGTGCAAATAACTCAGCTAACCGTCCTGCCAACCTAATGAAACTGTGCTAAGCTTTTGTCTGTACTGTGGCAGACATCAGAGCAGGAAAACAGGCTTCACGAAATAGAGCAAAATTATACTAAACCAATAGAAAAGGTCTCCTGCTGCAACCCTAGTCGCATTTTATGCACCTAACTTCGCGATCTTGATGAGGCATCCCATGATTTGGTTGGCTCCACTCTTTTACTCTACATGCTTGCAAATTATCTAAGTTATTTCACTAACCTGAGTGCGTCCTGTGGCAGCTGTTTTTTTACACAAATAAACTTGAGAACGATCCTCTAATGTTGAATCATGTTTGGTCTCTTTCATCTTAGTTTAGTATATTTTTGCTCTATTTCGTCAAGTATGGATACCTGATTTGATGTCTGTCACAGTACAGACAAAAGCTTAGTACAGTTTCATCGGGGTTACAGGACGGTAAGCCAAGGACTTCGCACAATTCAACAGTCTTCCCTACGTAGCAATCCGTTCTCGGTTTCTGGTGCGTCCACATCACGAATTCCTTCAAATCAACTTTTCCTTCGAAATGAAAAGTCATATCAAAATATTTTTATTAGTTATGTGTTCACTCAATTTGGTTGATGAAGGACTGGTAGTTAAATTTTCCTACCATGCTATGAGTAGAGCTGACGTTTCCATTGATTTTACAAAGTCTTGCTTTCCCAAAAGGTGTTCTCGTCCAGGGTTGACTGTAGTTTCGGACTCGCCTAGGTCTTATCAACACCCCCAGCGGGAGTCGAATCATGACAGTGCAGCGTGTAATAGAGACGTGCCATATTGCCACGAGTGCTCTCGGGTCAGAGAGTAATGGTTAACATGTCATGATTGTACGCTGCAATGTCATGGTTCGGCTCCCGCTGGAGGTGTTGAGAAGACCTAAGCGAAGTTGAAATTGCAGTCCACTCTGGATGAGAACACCTTTTGGAAAGCAAGGCTTTGTGAAATTCAATGGAAACGTCAGCTCTACTCATATCATTGTAGGATAATTTAGCTGCCAGTCTTTCATTGCCTTAAACGAAATAGAGTGAACACAACCCATATCTGATCTACTGGTGGTTTTGAAAACCTACTCAAAAACGAAAAAAAGACTTGTAGAAGACTTAATTCTTAATCCTGTATGTCCACTCTCACTTGATCGCACACATGCGAATTTCTCTGTTCTTACTTTACCCCATACACCAGAACATTGAGTTCCATATAGATAAGACTGTTACAAAAATAATTATATAATTATGTGATAAAGGGAATAACCCCTCCACTTGTTTATTTTTCATAGCTAAATATTCTGCTGAGAGTGTTTGTTCCCACTTTACAGCCTAATGAGTAGATTTTCATTGAATTATTGGTCCTCATTTCAAATTGGAATTCTGCGGTTAAATGAAGTCGGTATGCTTAATATCTCGTTAACTTGTTGTTTCAAGATTTTTTAAATATTCTCCCAGGTCTTTCGCAAAATAGACCAAACTATTATAATTGTGCCACTTTATTATTTAAATTAAACATCTTGGTCTTTATATCTTCAATTAATTCCGTATGCTTATTTTAATGCATAAATTTTATCGATGAATTGGTGCTATTATCCTTTTCACTTAAATATTATTTCTGCACTGCCTAGTTTTATTCTTATTTTCGACAAACTTTTCAGATAATTAAAATACTATCAACTAGTAAGTGGAGCACTATATGTCACTTGGTATTCTGTCTTAGATTCCTTTTGCCCTTAGATCAGTAGTCCAAAGGACTATGATTTGGGTCTGCTTTACTTGGAAGGCTTTTGTTCAGATTTTCAACGGCGAGATTCGTTTAGCCTAAGGATTAATCTATCTGCCCTCGAATAAGAGGATCTACTAGCTCGTTAACAATTTTCACCATAGTTTTAAGCTCAAAAACTAAGATAATTAAGTATATTTTGCACATATTGGCACATTAGTCGTGTTGGGTCACTTGGTTTACCATGTGGTAAAAACATTGACCCGTTTCCTTGCTACGTTTGTATGTGTATATATTAAGTGGCGGATACAAACACAGGCTATAGTGGTTGCCTTTCTTTAGATAAATAGTTTAACTTATCAAGAATAGGATTTCTGATAGATAAAACATACGAAACTAAATGTTAGGGTCGCTACAGAGCCATATTGAAAGGATGTAATTTATGAATGGTTTTGAGTGAGTTTTCTTGCTAACACATAAATATTCTTACTTTGTGTCTCAGTAGTTTCAGCCTACTTTTCACCATTTTAACGCAGATTATTGATTCTTTATCAACAGATTTTATTTAATTTAATTATATCCCAAATGACTGCATGCATTTTGATTGTCTGAAAAATTCGCCTATTTGAATTCTTTGTTCCTTCACAAGCATTTTGTCCAGCACATATGTCTGAACTTAACTCTCGAAACATCCTATCTAGCCCGTCATTTACGTTCGATAATGTTACTAAGCCTTAACTACTGCAATGCATTACACTTGGTCTGATCCATATATCTTGAATACGGGCATCTCCCTGGCCAAATGTATACTCCTTTTAGCGTCAACTTATCCCATATTGATAGTCTCTTATGCTCCTTAATATAAATAATTTGTAAGCGATCTTAATAAATGAATGACAATCTATTGTCTTTATGATATATATAGTGGCGCGAAATAAAAATGTTTTTTTATGGCGCATTCGATAACTCAGAAACTGGGAAAAGTGAAATTTAGAAAAACTTAACCTTCAGCAAAGTTGGCCTTGAACACATACGACCCTTATCAAGATTATTTAAATTTCTGTATAACGAAAAATCTCAGAACCAGTTCGAAATAAGATGCAATTTGACCAGAAGTATTTAAAAACCCAAAGCTTTATGAACCAAGTTAGATTATTGCAGATCTTAGTTAGCTCCTGGTTCATACAGAATGGGCCCTATTTTATCTTATTCTCTAATCTATTTTTTACGGACATCAAATTGCAAATATTACGTTCTGAACCAAGCGGACTTAGTGTAAAGTCGTTTATTCATTATTTAAAGCACTTAGCCTCATAATGAGTAATGAAATGGCCTTTTAAGGTAACTCATGGCGCTGCTTTCTGGATTATTAATATGTATCAATCACCAGCGGATAGACACTATTCAGCATATATTTTGAAATTTGCAAATTATGGTTAAAAAGCAAAGCAAGATGTATCTTGGTTTTATTAGCCTACAATCTCATCATATTCTTACTTTTACGATTTTTTGTCAGTGGTTATATCTAGATAAATTGTGGCTTCAGAGACAAAAACATACACTTTTTTTGTCCTTTCAATTGAACTTAACGGAGGTTCTGTTTAATGAATAACATATAGGGCTCGAGTAAGCAATGTGAAATGTTTCCACAGTATATTATTGCTTTCAGAATTTTTGTAAAGTACTCCTTTTTTTTCCTTAAGGTTCTTCGGACCTGTGAAAACATTTTATACTTCCACGTTGGTTCCAACTTGATAATCTATAAGGGCCTTATGATAAGAACCTTTTATGATAACTGTTCTTAGCTGTATTGGGCGATTTCCTGTAAAATAAAAGCAATTCAGATTAATTTTACCAGAATCACCCTTGTCATCATCGGTTCTCCAAATGAACATGTGTGATAAACAATTAATACTAGCGTACCTTTCATTTATTTTGAGAAGGCGGGTCGAAGGGATTCGTAGATTTGCCTCACCGGATACCGCAGAAGGGTTGCGTTGGAAATCTTTGTTTGTTGAATTTTGCGAAGAAGACCGCGGCTCACCATATTACGACCCTGATGGCATCGTGTTGAGCTCTCGTCCGTCCTGTGACGAACATCATCAGAGCCAGAAACCATTATTCACGAAAAATCACAAAAATCTAAAATGAGAAAGGTGGCCAGCTGAGATCCTACTTACTTCTCATACCTCACTTTGTGATCTTAATCAGGCATTCCATGATTTGGTTGGCTGACGTATGCTTATCCTACATGCGTGTAAGTGAGTCAAATTGATGCAGGCAGGGGAATGGATGTAGTCACAACTGTTGTCAATATAAATAAACTAGAGTATGATCCAGTAGTCCTGAGTCTTGTTACAGCTTCGTGAATGCGTGTTTGCGTGTGTATGCAACAACCCCGAGTTGGTTGACAATTTTGGGTTCAAAAGCAAGCTCCAACCTAGTCTACTCTTCTCCTTTTGCTCAGTGGTTCTTCCTGTTACCTTTCTTTCTCTTTTTCTCTCTCACTCAAACACGCATCCATGA